CTCTAGGCAAGAAAAACAGTCTTTGGAGACTTTTTCCTTACAGCATGTTGACTCCAGGCTGGGGAGCTGGGGATATCAGAGGGTGACAGCTGCTTTGTTGGCATCTCGTGTTTCCAAGTCCCTTGGTATGAAGTAGATTTTTGTTTTATGCTCCTGTGGGTGGTGGTTCTCCTTATAGCTCGTGACAGTGTTCCTCCATATACAACATGTGGAATGTTAGTTTCCTGTCAACAGTTAAAACAGCCCCACATCTGTCAGGCTCCAAGGAGACTGCTTTAAGCTGGAGGGTTTTTGCCTCCTTTGCGTGATCTCTTCACATTTGGGAAACTTAGGGTTGGGAAGTTTCCCTTTGAGGAAGGCTTTTGGGCCAGTGGACTGGCAAGCTTGTTCCCTCCACTGTGCCTTCTGCCACACCTGCTCTCAGCTGTGGTGAGCATGAGGGACTGTTTCATTTATGGGACTTTCTGGCAGGGGAGACATTAGTCACACAATCACCTAAGCAAATATAAAATTGCTATGAGGAGGAGCTGTGTAGTACTCAGAGAATAAAAAACAGAATCAGGATGGATCTGCATAGGCAATTCAGAGAAGCTTCCTCGAGCTAGGAACTTTTGAGCAGGAGCTGTAGTGGGTAGGAGTGGGGTGCAGTCCAGGAACTGATGAAGACAGGGCACCTGGAGCAGGAAGCAGGAAGGTCAGTCACTGCCAGTGCTTTAAGGTCATGCCAGAAACTGGTCTTCATACTCAGAGGGACAAAGTGGTCAAAACTTGGACTTAATTAGCGCAGGAATCAAAGTGAGGACAGCACAGAGAGGAGGCCCTTGCAGTTACACAGATTCATGGGAACCTTTGGTGTGATGAGGAGTGGGCAGGATGGAGAGGGGTTTTAGGGTGCCCAAATGAACAGACTTGGGACTGGACGCTGTGCATGAAGCAGACTGCCCATCAAGGGTGCAGGGCTGAGGTCAGTTTGTGCAGTAGGACGGATACTGGTGTCCTTGGTCATGCTGGCTGGCCTTTAGAGGAGCAGGGTATGAGGTCACACTAGGTTTTGCTCCTCTTGGTGCTCAGTCCAGGGTGACCCGGAAGCCAGCTTGTGTTGCTGGGCCATGTCCTACCAGTAACACAGGTTTTGCAGGACATTGTTCAGCCCTTTTCCTAGGCACTCTTCACGTGTTCTAACATGAAGCCACTGTGACAGGTTCTGGAATCAATATGGTGCAAGGCCTTGGGTGCAGAGAGCAAGGGGGATGTGAGCAAGTTCTGATGGCTTTGGTGTTTGAGATCCCACTGCCCCCACTCCCTTTAGATTTTATTTATTCATTTATTTTGTTTTTGTTGGAAAGGGAGATTTATAAAGAGAAGGAGAGACAGAGAGAAAGATCCTCCATACACTGGTTCACTCCGCAAATGGCTGCAATGGCCAAAGCTTAGCTGGTCTGAAGACAGGAGCCAGGAACTTCTTCTGGGTCTCCAACGAGGGTGCACCTAAAGCAACAAGGTTGCTTTGGGCCATTCTCTAGTGCTTTCCCAGGCCATAAGCAGGGAGCTGGACGGAAAGTGGAGCAGCTGGGATGTGGACTGGCACCCAGATGGGATCTCAATGCTTGCAAGGGAAGGATTTAGCCATTGACTCATCGGTCTGGGCTCAGTTTTTTATATTCTTACCCAAGCACTGCTTTTTTTTTTTTAAGATTTATTTTTAATTTTTATTGGAAAGGCGGATATACAGAGAGGAGAGACAGAGAGGAAGATCTTCCGTCCGATGGTTCACTCCCCAAGTGAGCGCAATGGTCGATGCTATGCGGGTCCGAAGCCAGGAGCCTCTTCCGGGTCTCCCGGTGCAGGGTCCCAAAGCTTTGGGCTGTCCTCGACTGCTTTCCCAGGCCACAAGCGGGGAGCTGGATGGGAAGTGGGGCCGCCGGGATTAGAACTGGCGCCCATATGGGATCCCGGGCGTGCAAGGCGAGGACCTTAACCACTGCGCCACCGCACTGGGCCCCCAAGCACTGCTTTTAATTGTCTGTAAGCGCTTTGGAAGTCTGTAGAGGTGATTGGATGGCAAATATTTTTAAGGGGTAACTTTGGAGATCACAGAAAGATAGCTGATATAAGCAAAGAAATGTAATTGGAAGGTTATCCGTAGTTTCCTCATCCCAGGATCTGTGGAGGGATTGTTCTAGTCAGGTGAGGCAGTGTGGGCTACTGTATGATCGCAGGGTTGTGGGTCAGAGAATCTGAGAGCTGTCCTTCCCTGGTTCCTATTCCTGCAGGAATCACACACAGCCAACTGGTTCACCCGCAGGACCCAATCAGCTGCATTTTTGAAACATAGAAAAACACTGTGTGTATGCTGACCATGTATGGGTTGTTTAGTCATTATTTGCTAAACAGGACATAACTTCAGTGGCTCCCATATTATATTGGGCATTGTAATAAGTTAGGCATGATTTGGACTCCACTGGGGGCTCATCCATGGATTTTGGTGCCTAGGGGAAGTGGTGGGCATGGCACTGGAACCACCCCCTGTTGGATCCTGAAGGATAATGTTTTAGCGTTGAATTGCACAACCATATCTAGCACTCTAGTATGTTGCATGCTTAGAGTGCTCATGCAGCCCAAGGGCACACAGCTTCTGGCATATGAGATAGTGGGCTCAGCCAGGGTTAATTGTGGGAGCTGGAACTCGAAGCCAGTGGCATCTGGGGGTGATTTGCCTGTACCAGCACCCGTAGAATGCAAGTGGAGAAGTTTGGGGGGTCATCCCGCGGAGTGGGTCCTGAGCCAGTACAGCAGCAGGCAACCACCGTAGCTTCGCTGAAAAGTTTCTCTTGGAGTCTGAGATGAGCTTGTTGTCAGGGTCCAGTAGTTGGGGTTCTCTTTCTGCCCACCTGTGCCCACGAGCCCAGCACCTTTAGTGACTCCTTCATGGTGCTCAGGCCCTGGTTATCCCTCCTGCTCTGGCCTCTTACCCAGCTCCCTGGGTCCCTCCTCACGTCTCAGGTTACCTGTGACTCGCAGCCCTGCCTCATTGCGGGGGTGGGGGTGGGGGTGGGGGTGGGAGGAACGGGCATGGGTCCCGTGTATAGTCTCACCACTTATGGGTCCTCGCTGCAGCTGTAGCCTGGCAGCACAGCTTTCCTGGTGCCTGCTGGAAGCTCTCCTAAGCCTTGATTTCAGGTTTCCTGCACCCTGTTGAGGTATCTGTGTCTCTTGTCCCTCAGGAGGCACAGGAGCTGTCCAGCGCTCTTCTTCCTCCCTGCACAGGCTCCTCCCTGCGAGTCCTGGTCTAGGGCCTGTTCTGATTAGAGTAAGCATCAGTACAGTCCTGGCTCCGGTCAGGGCACTCGCATCTTGGAGTGCTCCGAGGGCTCTGGCTCTGGATTGTTTCAGCCTGTCCTTGTGTTCCTTGTTGCTCATGCCTGCTCTTACCCTATCCTATGCAGGGTCCTGACCCTCAGCCGCCCGTTTTTCTCCTGACTTGCTGGGGAGGGTTATGTCTGAGGGATGTGTCAGAGCTGGTCGTGTGTGAAGAATGCCCAATTCCTTGCCAGCAGCACTGGCATTTTGTCCAGGATCATTCCAGAAAAGTAATCCAACCTGGGAGAGACCGGACACAGCTTGTATCTTGGCTCCCATGTTCTTCTGCAGCCTGAGCACCTTTCTCTGCTGAGGCCGAGCAGAGTGCTTAGCTCAGGGCCTTGTTGTCCAAGCCCACAGGCAGCCAGTCTGGGGACTGGAGCCTAAGCCCCAGCCCTGCCAAGGCAGCACAGCCACTGCCGTTGCCTAGAGTGACCTCTAGGGGTGGGGTTTGACTGCAATGTCCTCTGCATGCACTGAGCAGGATGCTCTTCCAGGGAAAGAGACGGACAAATCCCATAGATGAGGCGAATCAAATTTAGGTCAAGGTGAAACCCATGACCCCCGAACCTCTCAGATAAACCTGAGCATTAAGGAGGGGCAGTGCGGGAGCTGCCTCTGCTTGCCTTCTGGAAAGTCAGAACTCCCTGCTTTGTTTCTTATCAGAGCCAAGTGATGATGGCAGCTCTAGCTGCTACTTCCCTCCTCTGGACGTTTGTACAGAATGCCGTTTCCCCTCCAGGGAGGGAGACCGCTTCAGGGCGGTTTGATGCATGAGCCTCATCTGCAGCAGGCTGCACGTGGAATTGAGTTAAGCACTTTGTGCCTGGCAGCTTTGTGTACCAGGTCTTTCAATGGTACCTCGGTTATAACCTTACAGAAGCCTGTGGCTCAGGAAGGACCAGTGGCTTTTATTACTGTCTTTCATTAAAGCTTGTTTTTGTAATTTCACAAGGGATTTGGAAGGTCTTTGTTATAAGTACTGTGGTGGGGGGAGTTTGGCTGTTCTTGTCCCAACACAACAGTTGCCAGGGTTTAATTCACACTGTGCTGGTGGGTGTGGCGCCGGGGGGAGTGGCTGTGGCTGCTGGGCTCATGAAGAGCACACAGATAGTGATGGTAAGCCAGGCCTCATCTGTACTGGGGTCCGAGGAGAAAGGCCAGGAACTGCTGTGCTGTGGGGGCAAGGAGCTTCCAAGCCCTTCTGTCTAGCGGTCACCAGACTCCCCTCCTGAAATCAGTTTATGCTGAGGGCTGACATCAGGCAGGTACGCTGGCCACACCAAGGAGGCTGTGAGCACACACCTTGGTTCTGGTCCAGCATTTCTCTGGGACTTCCTCTAGCAAGGGCATTTCCACCTGTGTCAAACAGAGATGGCAGCACTTAATGGCTTGAGGAAGTGGAGAGAGGGTTAGAATTATAAAAGCCTGTGTGTAAGAAAAACATCAACTTATGGGGTAGATTGGTACATCGTGTTATAAATAAGTGTTTGCTCTCTAATATCGTTCTATGCCTTGAAACAGTTTCAGGGAAAGATATGTTTGCTGCCACATTCAAAGGAAGACTCAGGAGAGCAGCTGATAGGAAAAACATTTTCACCTCAGTAATTCTTGGCTTTTCTCTCTCTTTTCCTCATTAGACTTGTCTTCGGCGAAGCGGAAGTTTGCTGATTCCTTAAATGAGTTCAAGTTTCAGTGCATAGGGGATGCAGAAACAGATGATGAGATGTGTATAGGTAAGTCCTAAATGACTGGCTGATAAAAATAATCACGGCCTGCCCTGGTTTCCCTTGTCCTAGTGCACACAGACCCTTTTGCCTAAGAGAGGCATATCCTGAGCTTAGGAAAGAAGACATGTGTGGTGGTCCTGACAGTGCAGGGAGACCAGAACATGGGGCTGTGGGGTTGCTCTGGCCTTCTTGTGCTCGGGATGACCTCGTGCACTGTCCTGTATCCAGGAGACAGCCAAAGGTTTGCGGGGTGGTAGGGGGGCTCTCCTCTCCAACCTCCTGAAGATTTTCCTCTGGCTAATCCTGTGAGCCTCCTTCTCCATCCACTTGGAACTTAGAGCAGAATAGAACACAGGTGGGTGACTCAGAGCAGAAGTAGAACATAGGTAGGTGACGGGAAAATTGGATCACAGTGACAGCTTATGGCCTGAAACCAGAATCCAGCCATATTTTGAATAGTCATGTAAACGGAATTCATTGAAACTTGCAGTTTCTCAGCCTCCTTGAAAAGTTTGGGAACTTGATCAGCTGTCCCAAGCTGCGGCCGAGCAGTGATTGGCTGGAGCTGTGCTGCTGCTGCTGCCTTCCCAGGGGGAGAGGCACTTGGTATGCAACTCACAACATCCGCCACTCACTCCTTCACCTCCTTCACACATACGCTGTTGTTTTCAAATTTGAGCGAGTGAGAGAGAGTTTCCCCCCTCCTTCCCAAATATCAGAAATGGCTGGGGATAGACCAAATCAGCAGACTGGGAACTCCGTCCAGGTCTCCCATATGGATGGCAAGAACCCAATTACTGGAGCCATCAGCTGATGCCTCCCAGGGCGGGCTTTGGAAGGAAGGTGGAACTGGGGCATAAACACAGACACTTAAATGTGGATGTCTCAACTGGCAGTTTACATGCTGCACCAGCACCGTTCCCCTGACACACCCCTGCTACTCCCTTTTGATTCTTACCAAGAGACTGTGGTGGGCTCTTGTTCATCACCATCTGGCCCTCTCGTGTAGGAGAAGCCCTGATCTTGGAGTGTTGGCAGTGCGAGGACAGTGTTACTATCAGGAGATGACCAGGGCCTTCTTGCTTCACTATATTCTTAAGCATCTTGGTGGACACTACGATGGTTTCAGAATTTGAGAAAGTTCTGTTGAACTGATAAATTCATCCAAAGCTGACTGAGTCCCTGTTGTGGCACGGGACACTCGGGATCTAAGGATGTGCAAAGGCAGCTGGGAGTCAGGCAAGAGCAGCGAAAGTGCCTTGGTGCTGTGACTTCTGGATGGCTGATTGCCTTCCTCCTCATAGCCTCAGGACCACAGCTTTACTGCCTCTTGCTTTTGTTGAGTATTCCTGACAAGAAAAGGGTTCATATCTGAGCACCAAGCTGCAATGTGCATTCTGTTGAAGGACTCAAAAGAGTGAAGAAACCCAAGAAACCAGAGATGGTGGCTCAGGTGCCAGCTGCACTGTTTGTGTTTAATTCTGGTGCCAAAGAAAAGGTTAGGTGCTGACGCAACCCTATGACAAATGTTGAAGTGGTGGAATCCTGGACAGGAAATCCTTTAGCTCCAAAGCGGAAGTCTCCCTCTTCCAGCCTAGGGCCTGGGAGCCTGCCAGCATCTCACTAGTGCCTGGGACTCTGAGGAACAGGCAGGCCTTGTCTATAAAGAAACATGTCCCTAGCCAGGGTGCCAGGTGGATGGCACCTGCATTTCTGGCTCATCTTACTCTGAGGGATTCATGATGAAAAGCTAAGGAGCACCCAGGGCAGCAGTTGGCTTTAGGCCTCTGGGCGCAGCAAGGAGTATAGCCCCTCCTTCTGTCTCATGGCCCCTTCTCTCTCCCAGCAAGGTCTTTGCAGGAGTTCGCCACTGTCCTCAGGAACCTGGAAGATGAGCGAATACGGATGGTGAGTAAGGCAGCACAGCTGTCTGTCCCAAAAGGTTTGTGCATCCTGAGCGAGCGAGGGGTTGAATGTCAGAGGAACTGGGTTTGAGTCCAGACTCTGCCATGTGGGTGCATGGAGCTGTTTAGCAAGTCCCACCCTTGCAGGGGTTGAAGGAGTACACAGACATGAAAGGATTGCCTGGTGGGTGGCCTACGAACAACACTGCCATCCTGCTGCCGAGTCAGTGAGAGGGCTGAGCACAAGGTGTGCGGCGTCTGGAGGCCTCCCGGCCTCTCGCAGCTGCCCCCTCCTGTCCCAGAGAGCTAAGTTTTCTGAGCCACCTAGGACAGCGCCTGCCAAGGAACTCAGGGAATGAAAGTAACTCTAAGATCCGCCTGGTGCAGAGTCACATGTCCATCTCGAGGTTCTCACGAGATCGCTTTGGCAATAGGATAGCTGATGTGGTTCTGCAGGGACAGAGGACAGATGTCCTGTCTCTGTCTCCCAGGATTTGCCTTTGAACCTTCCACCACAGCCCTGAAACCTGATGGGAAATTCCTCTTGGGTGCACACCACTTTTCCCTAGAAGGGTTTTGCTGCAGATAGGAATATGCCAAGGGCCTAGGGAAGATTCCAGAATCTGGGACATTTTTCTTATCACACTAACAGCTGATGCTGTGAGCTTTAAGTCGACTGAGACAGTATATAGCCAAGTGCTTTGCATAGCTTTTTACATTTTCACCCTCATATAGAATATGTGAACTGCTTATTGTATTATCCCCATTTTTCAGACAAAAATACTGAGATTTATGGAAGTTCAGTGATTTGACCAGGGGTCACACAGTTAATAAGTATGGGTGCAGCCTGGGTGCAAGGCCAGATCTATACTGAAATGGAAGGAAAGAAAAATGTAGGGTTTTCTTTAGAACTCCCCATAGTGTGGGCTCTGCCCTTCAGCCCTGCTGCCAGAGCCCTTGTCTCCCTTGGTGGCTTCTGGCCCTGAGCTTCCCTCAGAATCGGGTGGGTGGCAACAACCGCAAGGCTGGTGCTGAGTGGAGGAAGGGGACAGCTTGCGTGTTTGTGCACGTGCTGGTGTCCGAGAAAGAGAAGTGCATCTGCAGAGCTGGATTCTTGACTGAGTCAGTATTGGAGGGTGGGGGCTGTGGTGTGCAGATCCTCCTGGGTCCCCTGTAGAGTGCAGTGGCCTGTGGCAGGGGAACAATGACTGGATTATACTTTTCAACTTGCCTCTGCAATTTTATTGTTCATACCAATGAATTGGGTTTCAGCTGTCTGTCTCTGAGTGTCTGGCAATGGCAAGCCCCCACCCCCGTCCTTCCACCTCTACATCCTGCGGTGGCAGCATCCCTGTTGATGCCCAAATCAGCCAGGTTGTACCTTCTCTGGGAAGCCTTCCCTGACCCAACCGGATACTTGACTGTGCTTTCATTTCCTTGACTTGGCAGTTCATGCTCTGCTTCTGTTTCCCACATGGTGTCCTGATGCCCACAGTTGGTCTGTAGTGTGTATGGCCCCTCCAGGGTCCAAATCAGTGCTTGGAACTGAGTGGAAATCATGTGGTTGTAGACTGACCCAGGAGATCTGACGCTGCACTGTCTGCAAGTTTTGTCAAAGCTAGCAGATAGCAGCAGGCAGGGTGGGACTCAGACAGGAATTGAATGTCCTGACACCTAGGGAAGCAGGTGGAAAGCTTTGGTGTATTGAGTATCCGTTAGTACTGGCTTCTCAGTCTCGGATAGCTGCTGGAATAGGTGGCCACTCAAATCTAGAGACTGTGCATTCACTGGTCCAGAGTGTAGCTTGCACACTGGGAAGTTTTGAAACTCTCCAGCTGATTTTACCATGTGGCTAAGATCAGTAACCAGTCAGGAGCCCAGCACATCTCTGGGAGCGTCGGCGACTGCCACTTAGTGTGTAGTAAAGGCTTAAACAAATATGCTACTAAAGCAACATCCCACAACAATAAAAACCAAATGAGCGAACTTTGCAACACTTGATAACACTGAGGAGTTAAAATGTTCTCTTCTGAAACACATGTTCTCAAAGACTAGAAAAAGCCCAAGTGGAAATACATTGGGAGAAGTGTTTTCTCTCCCTGCATTGTCCAGTTTTTGAGTGTGACTAACTGTGACTTCTAACATTTACTCTGTTTCATTGCAATGCACATGCATGTGATTAAGCAAAAAAAAAAAAATGCTTTGTTACAGTGACATTTCTGGCATAAATAGTTGAGTGAAGAGTGAACAATGATCGAGACTGAAACATACCACACTGGCGCAGAGAACACTATAGAATCCTAGAGCTGGAACAGTTCCACCCACACATTTTGCCAGTGAAGAAATTAGAGCCCAGAGAGGTTAGATGTTTTGCTCATGGCCACATGATTGGCAGCCATTCAAGTCATCATTCATTCGTTCATTTTGGCATTCAGGAAATAGTTGAGTGCTCCTTTGTTCCAGCCCTCCCAGTGTTTTGGGGGTGGTAGTGGGCAAGTGACCATTCACAAGACTGTGGTATTGTGTGTGTGTGTGTGTGTGTGTGTGTGTGTGTGTGTGTGTGTGTGTGTGTGTGTGTACATGCGTGCGCACGCGCGTGTGTGTATTGATAAACTGGAGATCTTCAGCAGGGATATGTATTCTGAAGAACACACTGGGGGTAGGAGAGTTTATTGGGATCACATTTGGTGGTTAGGGAAACCTCAATTGGGATAAGGGGTCACCCAGGCCAAGGGATTGAGAACAGACATCGACATGCTGAGGTGGGCCAAGTTTGGTACATCTGAGGTACACTGGAATGGCAGGAGTTTGGACAGCAAGGTAGGAGAGGTGAGCCCGGAGAGGTGAAACTGAAAGGCATTCCCCTCCGGTGGTCCAAGCCTGTCAGGAGCCTGGCTGTCCCAGCTGTGCTCTGCAGTCCCGTGGGATAGCACGGAATCAGGCTCCAAAGGTTTTTGTGCCACTAAATGTCTGGAGGTGTTTTGTTTCTTGTTTTTAACCTAGACCCAGTGCTGGCATGCTTTTTCTGTAAGTTAGGTGAATGAGTATTTTACAAGGAACCATCCCCTGAATCGTAAAACTTCGGCCCCACCCAGTTGGCGCATGTCCTCTGTGTATGTTGAAGAACCTATGTCAGTTGTGCGTTAAAGGGGCAGTGAGGTTATGGGTGTGATGCACTGTGATTCTCCGCTGACCCCTGCCCGTCGTTTCTTCGCCAGATTGAGAACGCCAGCGAAGTGCTTATCACACCCTTGGAGAAGTTTCGCAAAGAGCAGATTGGGGCTGCCAAGGTGAGTTCTGTGAGCCTTGTTCTGGGGTGGCTAGGTGGGAGGGCTGGCAAGCAGCGCCTTCCTCGGGGACCTACGCCGGCCTTGCTCAGCAGGTAAGCTGGTGTCCAGCTCCACTGCTCTTTGCGGGAGACCGCTGTGTGGACCCGCCTTTGTGGTCAGCCAAGCACACCTCCTGGTGTTGTGCCGTCTGATTGTTTTGCTCTAGGTTGGAAATCCTCCTCAGGTGGAACCCTGGCTTTCACTGTGTTGCTGGGTGGCTGTATCCTGGAGCAGTGGGCCACATTGTTGTTGTGGCAAAGCGTTTATTGTGGAAGTCTGGGACCCTCAGCCTAAGCAAGCTTGCCTTTGAACCCTGTGGGCCTCTGGAGTTACTTTAAAGGAAGGCAGAACTAGATTTTACTCAGCCGGATTTTACTGTGAGGAAATCTGCCCTCTCTTACCAGATCTTTACATTTTTCTAGTGTTCTAATTGTGAAAAGTGACAGTTTTATGTAGAATTTCCCATTTGGCATATATATATATATACACACACACACCCTGAGACCACCACATGTCACCCCTGACCCAAGAAAGCCAGCCACCATGAGGCTGATTCTCTCATGTCATCAGACACCACGAAAGGAACCCTGTTTGTTTCAAAGGTTCCGTCTCCAGAGCTCCCTGCCCAGGGTGAAATCACTAAGGTCGGCTTGACCCTCTGCAGAGTGTTAGGGTCACCCCTAGGGAAGATGTTTGCATTGGAATCCACAGAATCCCAAAGTTTTACCACATTTTCTTCTCCAGTTTTACTCCAGGTCATCCCCAGTTGAGTGCGCCACCTGCAGGGCAATTCAGGCATCACCACTCTTGCTTGGCACAGACCTCTGCTCCCTTCCCTGGTTCAGTGCCTTGAGAAGTCATGGCTGATGGCTAGTGTGGGGGCGGGGAAGCTCTGCACTCGCTAGCTTGCTGTCTGTCTCTCCTTCTCTCACTCTGTCCGCTTTATGTGACTCTAACAAATGCCTTAGAATAGTCTCTCTGTGAAGGAGGAGGTTTGGACTTACAATTTTGGATGGACAGTCTCAGTCGGACAGTCTCCTGGCTTTTGATAGGGGATGGGGGCTGGTCGAGCATGTGCTGAGGGTAACCTAGGAGGCAGAGAGGTGGGCAGCCCACCTGCCACGTGTGTCTCTGTGTCCTGACCTTTTGGTTCGGTCATGCGGCACTGCCCGCCAGTCTGGTGAAATCCAGTTGCTTCCGGAAGGTCCCTCTCTGTCCCTGCACCATCAACACAAGATGAGCACAGGGGACCTTGAGGCAGCAGGCCTGCAGAGGGCGCTGTATAGCCAGGCTCTTGCCCAGGTCTGGTGTGCCACCGCCGAAGGAGGGGCTCTGCTTGACCAGGACTTTCCTTACCGCTTGTATAACGTGTGTCTGCCGGGTTTCTGTTGACATGTCTGAGGAAAAAGGAGCTCCCTGGTTTTGTAGCCAATAAAAATAAAGATCTATTTATTTTATAAAGATTTATTATTTCTTTATTTTATTGCAAAGTCAGATATACAAAGAGGAGGAGAAACAGAGAGGAAGATCTTCCATCCGATGATTCACTCCCCAAGTGACCTCATCAGCCTTTGCTGCACTGATCCAAATCCAGGAGCCAGGAACCTCTCCAGGTCTCCCACACGGGCACAGGGTTCCAAGGCTTTGGGCTTCATCAACTGTCTTACCAGGCCACAAGCAGGGAGCTGGATGGGAAGTGGAGCTGCCTGGGTTAGAACTGGCGCCCATATGGGATCCTGGTGTGTTCAGGGCAAGGACTTTAGCCACTAGGCCATCGTACCGGGCCAAAAAATACATCTTTAAAAGAAAAAAATAAACAAAACCCCAAATACAGTTCTTTGAGGTGGACACTCTGGCTTCCCGTGGCTGCACACTGGGTGTGCATCTAGAGTCTGGCATGGCGGGGGTGCCTCTGGGCCTGATGGGAGGCGTTTGTGTGAAGTCTTGGGTGTTGTATGAATTTTCGGAACCTGGTTGTGGGCAGCCATGGTGTACTCAGATGCTTCGCAGCTGTGACATAAAACACAGAACTTGAAGGCCAGGGTGCTGCTTTCAGTCGACATTTTCCTCTTTCTTCTTCTGTTCTCAGGAAGCCAAAAAGAAGTATGACAAGGAGACCGAGAAGTATTGTAGCGTCTTAGAAAAGCACTTGAACTTATCTTCCAAAAAGAAGGAGTCTCAGCTTCAGGAGGTAAGAAATTTGCCTTCCTGGAGGAAGTATGATGTGTGGCTGCAGTTGGCTGCTGGCCGGCCAGAAGAGTCCTCGGGAGGGGCGCTCGGCCCTGCATCTGCCTCCCGTGCCCAGTGCCAGGGTTACCTTAGCACTGCCCAGGAGCTGCATTTCCCGGCCGGCAGTGTTCCTGATGTCCGTTCCTTTCTGTCCTGTGAGTGCTCCACCAGATCTCTGGGGACAGGGACTGCTCACCAATCCTGGCTGGTTCAGGTCCATCCGCAGCATTGCTTATTAGTTGTAGCCCTGCAGCCAACACTAATTGTGTGAGTGTTTCACTAGGAGTTGTGGGGAGCTCTTTGCATGGGGTCCTCCCCAATTCATCTTGTTGGGCTGGAGTGTGCATCATTTCCGTTTTTACAGACGAGGAAACTGAAGCTAGGAGATATGGAGATGTCTGCCAGTGGCTGGCCAGTCCTGGCCGCAGGCTGTGGAACCCCTTTCTCTCACCTGTTTTGTGCTCTTTTAGGGGAGGCTGTGGAGGCTGCCAGGTGGTAGGTGTTACTCAGAACACATGTCCTGCTATTTAGTGATGGTTTTCTTTCACATTTATTGAAAAATAAGTCAGCTTTTAGGAAGCATTGTTCAACACCTGGCACCCTGGGCATGAAATCTGCTAGGTGATTATCCAGCTTTATTCCTCAGATTGCCAATTCCCCAGGGTGTGCTTTGAGCCCATCTCTAAAGCCATGTAGGGAGGCCTAGGGAGCAGCAAGGTGGAGCAAGGCTGCCACCTAGTGGATGATTTTGAAAACAGTCAGTGCATTCAATTGCCTGGAAGTTTTCCCTTAAGTGATTTGTGTTGAGACTCACTGCAAACTTGTGAGAGTTTGTTCAGGCTCAGCGTGCCTTGTGGTGAATAAAATGAAGGGTCTACTTTTTTGGGCATCCTGCAAAAAGGTGGAAAACACAATTGAAAGGGAAGCTTATGTAAAAAAAGGTCAGAGTCCATGCACATGAGGGCCCTTTACAATGCTCATGAAAAAAAAAAAAATCCAAGGAGAAAACAGTGTGTAGATTGCAAAAATTTTACTGTCTCCAAAATCAGCTTTTTGTAATGCTCCTGTTTCTATAAGCTGTTTGAGTGCCCACACAGAGTCTACAAGAAACGTTGGAGAAGCTGGTAGCCTTCCAGGTTTAGTGACAGGAGGACTGCCTGGTGCGATCTGCAGGGCGGGCTGGTTGGAGTAGGCAGGGCCTGGGCAAGAGAAACACAGAATTCCACGTGGGATTTTTTTCTTTCTTGTCCTTGGAAGTGCACAATTATGTGTTGCTTCTTAGGGCTATGTCACTCCAGGGCCATTGTGCCTTTGGTGCTAAGGGATGGCCACATGGTGACCATCAGTTCATTGATCCTGCAAGCTCTGCTGGACATGAGCCAGGCACCGCTGGGTCTGGGTGGGAGCCGGAAGACCTGGGACGAGGATTTTGCCCTCCTAAGCTTCCCACGCCAGTAGGCAACACACGAGGAAAGAAAGATGAGAAAGAAGAGTTTGACACGGTGACAAGGAAATAAGTTGGGGTAACCCACGGAGACAGTGTGGTCAGTGAATATGCTTCTCTCTAGAGTCTGGACCCATTCCCAGAAGCATGAGAAGGGCAAGCAGGGTACAGAGTGAGGACAGTCTCTTTGGGGGTGGGTTTGTGAGCAAAAACCCAAGTCCTTGGGTGATAAGATCAAGTGGGCTAGGTTAAAACAGCAGGGAAATACATTGGGCATAACAGTCATGAATGTGTTTATTGGGTCATCTGCAGAGTGTATTGAGTGAGTGTGTGTGTCTGTGTGTCCAGGGGATGGAACACTGACGGCGAGTTTGCACAGCATGGCAAAGAGGGCACAGTGCCTGTTCTTGGACAGGTGGGGATGAGCAGATCACGGGGGTCTTGCCCTGACAGTGTCCTTAGGGGTAAAGGCTGGAAGCCATGAGGCTTCTGACTTAGATTTTGAGAAGGTGTTCTGGCTTCTCAGTGGGGATTGCCTAGGGGCTAGGAGACAGAATGAAGGTGGCAAGCCCAGTCAGGCGAGAGGTGCGGTGGCCTAGGGGTGTTGTGACTGGAGCTGGGCAGAGGAGGACAGAGAGCCCTCTCTGCTCTGAAGCGCTAGGGGCCTGTCATGGCCCACATACATGAGTGGGGGCACTTTCCCCTGGTGCAAATCGCTCAGATGCATTAGCCCATCTTTTCTTAGATGCAATCCTTCTCACAAGCAAAGGCTGATATAATCACTCCCTTCTCCAGAGAGCGGCAGTGGCTGAAGCTGGTCTCACAAGCCTAGGCCTAGGGCATGCGCCCAGGTCAGGTCCCTGCCCCTCTGATTGGCACCAGCTGTCCCCCCCTCACAGGGCCTGCCTCCTGGTGCGTTTGTTCCCGCCTCACCTCAGTGTTGACAGAGCTTTGTGTGTGTTCAGAAGCAGCCTGTAGCTGCCCTGCAGTGCCAAGTGGGAGGAGGTGTGAGGAATCAGAGATGACCAGGGAAGTGCATGCATGCCTCAGCACAGGTGCTGGGTTTGCACAAGGAGACCACAGAAAGTTCCAGCAGCATACAGAGCGTGGCTGGCAGGAGCCCAGATGGGAAGTATGCGAGCCTAGCTAAGCAGTTGCACCTGGGCAAAAAGAGTGCTGGGAGTAGGGGCTTTCCAAAATTATGCCTCCAACTTGGACTCTTCCGAGCTTGGATAAGCTCCATGTCCTGCTTGGTCACGTTACAAATTTCCTGGGACCTGGCCCTGCAGCCTGGTTTTGTGCAAAAGGCTCTTTGCAGCCTGGCTGTAGTGCCGTGAGGTATGAGTTTGTCCCAAAGGAAGTTGCTTGCATGAGCGATTGGATGCACTTCTTGGGGCTGTTTGATAGCATGCTGAACTGTATCAGAACTTGATCTTCATGATCCGTTTATCATTGTGTCTTTTCTGCACTATGTTGTATGCTCTGTAAAGGAGGTTACTTTTTGCTCGTGATAGTTACATGGGAATGAATGATTTGTCAAGTTCTTTTTTTAAAAGATTTATTAATTATTATTATTATTATTATTTTGGAAGGGCAGATCCACAGAGAGAAGGAGAGACAGAAAGATCTTGCATCCACTGGGTCACTCCCTTAGTAGACGCAACAGCCAGAGCCGAGCCGATCCAAAGCCAGGACCCAGGAGCTTCTTCCGGGTCTCGCACATCGGCACAGAGCCCCAAGGCCTTAAGCTGTTCTTGGCTGCTTTCCCAGGCCACAAACAGGGAACTGGATTGGAAGTGGGACAGCCGGGACACGAACTGGTGTCCCCGTGGGATCCTGGCATGCAAGGACATTGGCCACTAGCCCACTGCACCGGAACAAATTTGCCAAGTTCTTAAAATGTCATGGTAATGTGATGGATTTGTGTATTGGAAATATATGTCCTTTTTTTTTTTTTTTTTCTTATACAGGAATGTTCTGGGAAGGTTTAGCAGGATGAAAATTCCAGCTGTGCAGGATGAGCTATTTAACTTTGGTCAAGTTCATTAACACCAGGAGGCTTCATTTTCCTCCTGTAAATTAGACATAATGTGCTGCCTTCCTTATAAGAATTTAATGAGGGTTCAGTAGATTATGATACCTATAATCATAGGCATGGTGCCTGGTACAAAGTCAGCGTTCTGCTGGCCATTACGATCATGCCCGTGTTACTTGGGTTTGTAAGTCATCACCGGAGATTGCTTTCTGGCCTGTTGGCTGAATGTTCTTTTTGGAAAGTAACTTTTCCCTTGAATCCTGTCCTGTTTATAGGCAGACAGCCAAGTGCACCTGGTCCGACAACATTTCTATGAAGTCTCCCTGGAGTACGTCTTCAAGGTGCAGGAAGTCCAGGAGCGAAAGATGTTCGAGTTTGTGGAGCCCGTAAGTACATGGTTGGGGCCTGTGGCATCCGTGCTTCCATCTGTGCCCTCCGCTTCAGGTGCTCTTAGAGGCTTACACGCTATGCCCACTTGTGGATGTGACGTATCTGCAGCCCTGGGGCTGTGCCTCCTTCTGGTGGCCAGGCTGGGCCCCTCTGGCTTTCCTAGCCTCTTTGCAGCAGCCTTCACTCCACAGCCACAGCAGGGACAGCAGCAGAGTCAGCAGAGGTTGCTTCCTGGTGCTGCCTGATGGAGTGTGCTTTGCTGTTTGCAGTGGGAGGCCAGAAGGGAGGAGTTCGCAATTCACTGTCAAGTGTGATTATACCTTGATTTGCACCTCTTTCCCACCCCGCCTTTCTTCTGTAAATTCATTCAGCTCAGTGGACACTGATGGACCCTGGACTTGGGCAGAGTGACCCAGTGTGGGGCAAGGGCTGACTTCAGCCAAGGCTACCCCAGCTTGCTTGTGGGTGTGCTTGGACATGGTGCTGCCCCACCCTGCTGTGGCAGCCCTGGTGCAAGCAGACTATCGCAGGAGGACTTGAGGGAATCCAGCAGGTCACCTGGGCCTTGGCTGAGAGCCCTCGCCGACCCTGGACTTAGATAAAACTGTAGCTTCTCATCTGTACTTACACCTGTGTCTCTTTAAGATCTACCTAGATGTAGCAAAGGCGACTTTGCTTAAGCAAATCAGAATATGAGGAACTGAAATAAAACAGTCTTTTTAGTACGTATTATTTGTACTTCCTTTCTTTCTCTTCCTTCCTTTTTTAGAAGTTTATTTTCATTTGAAAGGCAGAATGACTGACAGGGAGCCCTTCTGTTTGCGGATTTACTCTTTACATGGCCAGAACAGTTGGGGCAGTGCCAGGCCAGACTACAGCCAGGAGCCTGGAATTCCCTTGGGAGTCTCCCCAATGGGACCCACATGCTTGTATGTCATTTGCTGATCCTTGCCCAGATGCATTCACAGGAAACTGGATCTGAAGTAGAGCAGGTGCTTCATTGTGGGCTGCCAGTGTCGTAAGCAGAGGCTGGTCCCTGTGCTCCACCTCCGGTTCATAAGCCTCTGGGATATAGACTTGCTGGTAGTTTCCTAACGCCTCCTACCACCTTTGGAATCTGAGAGCATGCTCTTTTACTATGTAGGAATTGTGTTCTGCTCCTAGCCACCTCCTATGGTGACTTCCTTTCTTAAAAATTGTATTTATTTTTCTTTTTATTGCTTTAACCATTTATTTACTTATTTTTATTTGGATGTCAGATTTAAAGAGAGGAGATACAGAGAGAAAGATCTTCCATCCACTGGCTCACTCCCTGAGTGGTTGCAATGGCTGGAGCTAAGGCAATCTGAAGCCAGGAGCCAGAAGCCTCTTCTGACTCTCCCACATGGGTGCAGGTTCCCATGGCTTTGGGCCGTTGTCACCTGCTTTCCCAGGCCACAAGCAGGGAGCTGGAAGGGGTATAGAGTAACCAGAACACGAACCAGCACCCTTCAGGATCCCAGCACTTGCAAGACGAAGACTTTAGCTACTACGCCACTGTGCCAGTCCCCCCCCCCCTTTTTTTAAAGATTTATTTATTTTCATCTGAAAGGCAGATTTTTCCAGAGAGAGAAGGTCTTCCATTGGCTGGTTCACTCCCCAAATGGGCACAATATCAAGAAAAGAGCTGAGCTGATCTGAAGGTGGGAACCAGGAGCTTCTTCTTGGTCTGCCTTGTGGGTTCAGGGTTCTAAGGCTTTGGGTCATCTTCTGCTGCTTTCCCAGGCCGGAGACAGAGAGCTGGATTAGAAGTGAAGCAACTGGGACACAAACCAGTGCCCATATGGGATACTGCTGCCAGCTTCTGTCAACTTCCTTGGAAGTGTTTATTAGATTTGGTGATCTGAGTACAAGAGCTCTTTGAAGAGTTAGTGGAAAGATCTGTATTATGAAAAAAAAGGGGGGGGGACATAGATTTGGGAAAAAAAAGTGTGCTGGAATGAACTTACAGTGACTTGTTAGAACAGTGTCAGAAAAGGAGCTACCTTGAGGTTCTATGTGAAACACTGGTTTCCAGATAGCCGTATCAGAGGAATAGAATTCTTAGAATTGAAGTGAGAAGAAATGTCAGAGTGATAGGGAAGCTTGGATAAAAGCGTGTGGAAATCAGTGCCTTCTGACAAGTTTATGGAATAACTGCCGTTTATAAATGGATACTGCATTATAGGAAGGGGTGAGAAGAAGTGAAAGACGAAGCCTGCGCAGCACACTGCAAAAGAAGCATTAATCCAGTTCATGTGTGAATGGAAAAGGATCAACGTTTGACGGGAGAGACAATGGCCAACACCACAGGCTCTCAGCTGGTTGAGCTCACACAGTTGTGACTGAAAAAGCGTGACACATTTTCCACTCCATGGGTGCCAAAGCTATCGTGCCCAGAGCAGCTACAGACTACAGCGGAACTTTTGGTGGAAATTTTAAACAAATAGGATCAAGATGATGAAGCTTTCCAAAAAATTGAAACAGGACATGCAGATCTTCGTGATCCTGAAGGCCAAGTGCAGTCAAGGTGGCTGGCGCCAAGAGGTGGAAGGTTATTGAAAAGAATGCTGTAAAAGGGACTGGCGCTGTGGCATGGCGAGTTAGGCCACTGCTTTCAGCACTGTCAGCCCATGTTGGGGCACTGGTTCGAGTCCCAGCTGCTCCACTTCCAATCCAGCTCCCTACTAATGTGCTTGGGAAAGCAGCAGAAGATGGCCAAGGACTTGCCACCGATATGGAATCAGAGATGGAGTTCCTGGCTCTTGACTTGAGTCTGGCCATTGGTGGCCGTTTGAGGAATGAGTGAGACAGATGGATGATCTCTTTCTATCCTTCCTTCTCTGTCACTGTGCCTTTCAAGTAAATCTTTCACAGAAACAGTAGTGAAAAAGATTGCATTGATTTAAATTTATAGGACATCCTGTCTTTTTAGGGATGGAGTAAAATGGCTAGTATTGTTGCTTTTAAAACTACTTCAAACTTAAAAGGCTTAATGGTAAGAAATAAAAACTTAGTTTTAATTTTAATTTTGAATTTTTTTTTTTTGCAAAGTCAGATAGAGAGGAGGAGAGATGGAGAGGAAGATCTTCCATCCATTGATTCACTTCCCAAGTGACGGCAATTGCCGAACCTGTGCCCATCTGAAGTCAGGAGCCAGGAACTTGCTCTGGGTCTCCCATGTGTGTGCAGGATCCCAAGACTTTGGGCTGTCCTCAACTGCTTTCCCAGGCCACAAGCAGGGAGCTGGATGGGAAGTGGGGCTTTCGGGATTAGAACCAGCACCCATATGGGATCCCAGCATATTCAAGGCAAGGACTTTAGCCACAGGCCATTGCGCCAGGCCCATATTTTAACTTCAAATTTTTTAATTTTTAGTTTATTTGAAAAGCAATTTGCAGAGAGGAGAGAGAGAGAGAGCTAGAACTCTTCCATCCCCAAATGTCTACAGTGGTTCATTCTCCAAGTGAGCACAGTGGCTGGAGCTGGACCAGGTTCAAGTCAGGAGCCTGGCACTTCCTTCTGGTCTGCCATGTGGGTGCAGGGGCCTAAGTACTTGGGCCATCTTCCAGTGCTTTCTCAGGTACATTAGCAGGGAATTGGATTGGAAGTGGAGCTGCGAGGACTTAGCCAGTGCCCATATGGAATGCTAGCACCACAGATAGCAGCTTAACCTATCATGTCAGAACACTGACTCTAAGAGTTTTATTTTTAACATTCTAATATCTCTTGTCTCAGAAACCTTAGAGCCAGCTTCCTGTCTGTCTGTGGTTCCGGTCAGAGTCCCCACCTTCTGCTGCATGTTAGCCAGTTCAGGAATTTCCCAGACTGGGGCACGGGAGTGTGAAAGTCGGCTTGTCGGTCAAGTGTATAGTGAGAACTTGTGACCTGTGGTCAGGGCAGGAATTCCAGTGCCGCCACATTCAGTTAGTCTTTTGCGTCCTTTTTATTTGCTCTCACTAGAGCGTCTAGAAGGGAAGAACAGTGCCAATTAAGCAATTTTGACATTCTCAGTGATTGGTGTTATTCTGTCATTGCCGGCTTTTGGTGAGCTTTATTTGAATTGGCTCTTCCGAGAGCTTTGGTGATGGGAGCTTTTTGGGTTATCCCCTTTGCTCTCTAGTGGGCCCACCTGATGTGTCAGTTACTGCATCTGTTGGCCGTTGCTGAGTGAAGACCCCCAAGCTTCATATGTAATTGTTGCTTATTTCTCAGCCCTTCTCAGGCTATTTTTTCTTTGTGAAATGAATCTTCAAGGAGTTACTGTTCCGTTTTCTGACACTCTGTTGCAGCGTGCAGTGTCTCAGGGCATTTCTACTTTCAGGGCCCATAGTGCTAGGTTGCCTGGGTTTAAATCCCAGCCCAGCCATTCACTAGCTCTGTATTTGTGGGCAAGGTATTTCTCTCAGCTTCATTCTCTCCACTTTTAAAAAGGGAGAACAGTACATCTCCCTTATAAATATGAGCATTGACAGAGCACAATGTGATCTTATGGCGCCCCGATGTCCAGCATAGCCACACTGTATATGCCGTTTGTGTGCTAGTCACTTAGGGACCATCGGGGTTATTAGGTCCATTGTCGTGGTATCTCAGTGCTTGTGTTAAAGTAACCTTTTCCTGGGAGTGCTACGATACTGTCACAGTGGCTCTGGCACTCAGCTCCCTTCTCCTTGTCACATAGGCATGGCATCATTTCATATCATCATGAGAAGGGTGAAGACAGTCGAGTAAGATACTATGACACACACATGTGCGCACGCGCACACACAGCCTGTGTTCATGTAACTCATATCAGTATGTTGCTACAGGAGGAGGAGTCTTGGAAAGTGCATATTGTCTTTAATTGTTGTCTATATTTACTTACCTATTTGAACAATAGAGACATCCCCTGTCCACTGGTTCATTTCCCCAGATGCTTGTAGCAGTTGGGAACCATAAGCTCAGTGTAATCTCTGGCCTGTGTGACAGGGGCCCTGTGGCTTGAGCGGTCACCTGCTTTATCACGGAGAGTGGGTCATCAGGAAGCTGAACTCAGGAGAGCAGCTGGAACCCCAGTACCTTCGTATGTGGGCATCCCAAGAGGTATCTTGACCAGTGCTCTAGTGCCTGACCCTACTGTCTTTTTTTTTTTTGTTAAGATTTATTTGTTTGGAAGGCAGAGTAAGGGAGGGGAGACAGAGCAAGAGGGATACCGCATCCACCAGTTCACCCCCTAAATAGCCGCAACAGCCAGATGGGGCCAGACCAAACCCAGGAGCCTGGAATCCATCTGGGTCTCCCATGTGGGTGTCAAGGACCCAGGGATTTGGGTCATGATCTGCAGTGTTCCAAGGCTCATTACCGAATCAGAAGTGGAACCTCCAAGTATCAAACCAGTCCTCCCATTTGAGATGGCTGCTTCCCAGTCGTGGCTTAGCTTACTGTGCCACAACAGTCACAAACATTTTGAAGTCCCTTGTAATTGTTCTATTTTCTTATTATTTATTTTTGTTAATGTTACTGTGCCTTCTTAATCAAACTTTGTTGTAGATATATTGTGTAGGAAGAAAACATACATGGTTTGGTACTAACTATGGTTTAGTAGTCTGTTTGGGGATCTTGGATCAACGGCACTGCTGTCTTCACACAGCGGTAAAGACACCTTGAAATCAGTGGTTTTTCAAGAGAGAGCTGTAGATTCTCCAGCTCTACCCAGACATGAAAAGTTGGGGCCTGAGAATCTGCATTTCGGTAAGCCCCAAAATGGTTCTGTTGTACATCAGAGTTGAAGCCACTGGCCTAGGTTTGTTCAGAGTGAGTACATGAAGTAGCAATTGATGGTCTCAACTGAAACCAAAACATATTGTTTTCCTGAGTTGCACACTCAGTTTGCTAACATCTCTTAAGTTTAGGTGCTGTTTTTATTCCTATTTTCAGATGAAGAAATGGGAATATGTAGATTTGTCCAAGGCCATATTTCGTAGATAATTGAGCTGGGATGACGTGACTCTTAATCTTTACGAGCAGCATTTGGTTGCTTACAAGCAGAAAGAAAACCAGCAGGAAATGTATTGTGCTGAATTGCTGGGGTACTGGGTGTTGGCTGCAGACCAAACGATCTTCTGGCCATTTGGAGAGTGAATCAGCAGACAGAAAATCTTCCTCTCTGTTTCTCCTTCTCTGTGTATCTGACTTTCCAATAAAAATAAAATAAATCTTCCTTATAAAAAGATTTTAGTTATTTGAAAGGCAGAGTTAAATATTCCATCCATTTATTCACTCCCCAATGATTGCAGTGGCCTGTGCTGAGACCAGCCAAAGCTGGGAGGCTGCAGCTCTTTCCAGGTCTCCCAAAGAGGAGGCAGGGGTCCAAGCACCTGGGCCATCTTCCGTTGCTTGCAAGTCCTTTAGTATGGAGTTGCTTTGGAAGTAGGGCAGCCTGATGGGTGAATCTGCTGCACCAAATGCCAGCCCCCAAAACTCTAATACACTAGATGGTTATGTGACTCAGCCCTAAGGCAGGTTCTTCTGAGCTCAGGGAGAATGGTGCCTACCATTGCTGTGAGAGGACACTGTAGAGTGAGTGTGTGAGTGGGACTGCAGCTGGCCAACACTGGCCAACACTGGGTTACGGCAGGTAAAGCCCCTATCCGTGACACCAGCATGCCATGTGGATGTCAGTTGTGTCCTGGCTGCTCCACTTCCAACCCAACTAACGGCCTAGGAAAACCAAGTGCTTGGGCCCCTGCTCACATGTGGAAGACATTGATGAAGCTCCAGTTCCTGGCGTTAGGCTGGACCAACTGGATGTTCTAGCCATCTAGGGAGTGAACCAGTGGATGGGAGCCCTCTCTCTCGCCCTCTGTCTCTGTAGCTCTTCGAAACAAATAAATCAAACACACACACAAAAATGAGAGGAAACGGCAGATAGCTGAGATAAAATTATTTTTAATAAGCCAGAGAATAATCACTCAACTTCCACAGCTATATTGGGACCTCAGGCACCCACACAGTGCCCCCGCTTCAGCCTGCCTGCCTCACCTGCCTATGCTCCTCCTTTCCAGCTGCTGGCCTTCCTGCAGGGCCTCTTCACTTTCTACCACCACGGTTATGAGCTGGCCAAGGATTTTGGTGACTTCAAGACGCAGCTGACCATCAGCATCCAGAACGTGAGTGTGCTTGGTGCTGGGAAAGGAAAAATCACATGGGACTTGTTGCCAGGGAGCCCACCTGCGTGGGTTGGAATTCAGGGGACCAGGGTGGGTGTTGCTCTAATGCAGAGGGCAGCAGGGGCAGGTGTTGGGAGGTAGCCCTAGATCAGACTCCTGGTTAGTTCAAAGCCCTGTTTATGTTCTCTGAAGTGGCTGCTGCCTATTCTGTTTGAAATCTGTAGCATCAGAGTCAGGATTTCCTTTTGGTGATGCAAGTCCCGCCCAGCCCAGCCTCTCTCTCTGTGCCTCTGGCTACCTGGCTCTGTGATGTTTTGCAAAGTGTGTTCAGAAGATGGGGGCGGGGGCATGCATGCTGACCTCCTGCTTGAAGGATGTGTCCTGATCCGTCTCGTGAGAAGGCTCACAGGAGCCCTCGGCTGTGCCCTTCACCCCCAGCCTCCTTTCCCCAGTTTTATATGCAGGGATTCTTGGGGCACAGAATCCTGTGCATGGCTTTGGGGGCTTTTAAGAGCAGTTTTTCTGGGGGAGACTCGAGTGCCCCTTTTAACTGCACACCTGAACCCAGTTCTTTTCTTTGTTTCAGGCTGTTTGGGAAGCAACCTGGCTACGTGCATAGGGTTGTGTGGCATGGATGTTAGGAACCTGAAACTGCCGTGTTCCCTGTGCCATGTTAGAGTACAATAGGAAGTCACAGAGTGTCCTGAGAGGGTTCAGAAGCAAGGTTTTCCTCAGCTTCCTCCCTGTGCTGAATCTTAAACAGAGATGTCAGTGCAGCACTTGTGCTGGTGACAGTGAGACAGGAGCAGCTGGGCCCGGATGCGGGTGTCCAGTTGGTGAGGCCTCCTAGGGATCCAGAGCTGGCGTGGGCCTTCAGAGTGGGCTTGAATGGAAGCCAGGGCTCTGGCCCTTCCCTGCTTCTCCCTCACCTTGACCAGTTACCAGATGTAGGTTAGTCCAGGGCAGACATGGCTTTGAGTGCATGAGGCACCTACAGGCCCCTGGCCCTTCTGAACCAAAATCTCCTGGGCCATTTATTTAAAACTCTGATTTCTAGCTTTAAAGATAGTAACTTGATCTCTTGGGAGCCAGGTCTTGAGGTACAGGCATTTGTGTTTTCTTTAAGTTGCCCTCGATGGCTTTGATGGTCAGTAGAGTTTGAGAGTCATTCTGGCCTAGGACTTGAACCTGTAAGCATGCACCTCAGGAATGAGCATTTGCCCAGTTCCTGGAGGGCCAAATGTCCATTGTCCGGTTTTGGATCCAAAGATTATGTTATACTGAGCTTTTTAATGACTACTCTGCCATGTCATCACTGTGATTTGAAAAAATCCTGTTCTCTGATTCCAGACAAGAAATCGCTTTGAAGGTACTAGGTCAGAAGTGGAATCGCTGATGAGGAAGATGAAGGAGAATCCACTTGAGCACAAGACCATCAGTCCATACACCATGGAAGGGTACCTGTACGTGCAAGAGAAGCGTAAGTACTTGGATGAGCGACTTGGTGAGCCTTAGGCCTTCTACTCATGGGGCCCGGTGTGGTGGCCTAGTGGCTAAAGCCCTTGCCTTGCATGCGCTGGGATCCCATATGGGCGCTAGTTCTAACCCCGGACACCCCACTTCCCATCCAGCTTGTGGCCTGGAAAAGCAGTCGACGGTCCAAAGCCTTGTGACTTTGCACCTGTATGGGAGACCTGGAAGAAGTTCCTGGCTCCTGGATTCCAATCAGCTTAGCTCCAGCTGTTGCAACCACTTGGGGAATAAATCTTCAGATAGAAGATCTTCCTCTCTGTGTATCTGACTTTCCAACTAAAAAAAAAAAGCCATGCTTCTTTAATGCGTATTCTCTAAGAAACTATTCTTTTGTGTAACCCCGTCGAGGGAGCTGATCGTTTATAATACTATATAATACTATGTAATAATATTAGTAATCCTAACTCCAGTCAATATTCTGGTTTGGCTGGTTGTCCCAGTAAGGCTCCTGGGACTCTTAGGAAGCAGTTTGCTTTCCTAAGCTACCTCATATGCTTGCTGCATCTCGTTGCCATGACTTCAGGAATGGTTCTGTAGCTTTTCTTTGCCTTTCGTGACAGGCCAGACTCTCTGTAGAGCTTTCATCAGCAAGGACTCATGATTACATGAGGTTCTGTGTCCCTGCTCAAATCTCACTTGAGCAGTGCTGTGTTTTGTCTCTGGGGGCAGTGGTCTGATGCAAATGGTGTTTTATCTGCTTCTGAGTGATGATGTGAGTTAATACCATGGTATAGCCATGATTTTGCCCTTGTAATTAAACAGCCATCTGTAGGTTGATGCTTAAGGTCACATGACTCTCCTTATCAGATTTTACAACACCCTCCCTTACTCCCCCAAAGCTGTAGTGTCCTTTGATAGTCTTTGTGTTACTCTCTCCACATTTAAAAGTAACCATTTCATGTACCTTGGGAAATGTCATCCTTTCTCCTCTTCCTTCCTTGTCCTGCTGTCAGTCTGTCCACTCACCCAGCCATCTGTCCATTTTCCTCTTGTCTCTGTGGACTTCTGTATTTCTGTTTTATTCACTTAGCTGTAATCCGTTACTTCCCTTCATTTATCCTGACACTCAATTTGTCCATGCTTCTGCACTTTTGGAATCCCTGTGTTGTCACACAAGCCAGGAAGAAACCATAATGGATGATTGTTAATTGCATTTGTCCTTGTTGCCTCAGTGGAAACGCTGTACTGCCAAAGTGTGTTAAATGACATCGGATACTTGTACTTAGCAGTTTTGCCATTAGTAATGATGTCAGGTATGCTAAAGCTAATTTAAAAAAATTGAATCATTTCTGCTATAGGATCTCTGAAAGCATTCAGAACTAACACTGATTGAAGTCCTTTTGGGCTGAACTTTTCTGTTAAATAATCAACAAAGCTCTGAGTAAAATCAGAGCTGTTGTCAGAACCTGGCTTCCTGGCATTTCCCTCTTTCCTCTGCGATCCTTTTGAAGGACAGATGCCCGAGTTTCCACCTGGGCGATTGTTCTCACTTCCGTTCTGCATCTCTGAGGTTTCCTGGTCTGCTTTTCTGGTCTTCTTGAGCTTTGCTAAAGCAGCAGTGAGGGGGTTTGGAAGTAGGTCAGCGCCCCTGAGTTCCTGTGCAGAGTCGCTGAGCAGCTGTGTGGGATGCATGATGTCATCGCAGCAGATGGGAATGGTGACGGCGCTTGGAGAAGGCTTTCTGTGTCCATTCCTCAGTCATCCTACTCTTGTCAGGGAACACAGCAGAAATATCAGATGGAGATTCATGATGGGAATGTGACTGAATCTCCCCCAGGGAACCTCTTCTTCCCTTATATTTTAAGATTGGCTGCATGAATGGAAAGCAGACTTCTTTTGGTCCCTAAGAGAAAAGCCTAGGTTGGTTCACTTTCCAGCTTGTGGGATCGGATTTCTGCCCGTGTCAGTCCAGCTTGTGTGGAGCACATGTGGCCCCTAACACAGTTTGAGAGCGGGTGAGTGCTGCTGTGTGTGTTAATGAGATGCAGCACACCCTGGGCAAGCGTAAATGTTTCACATAAACTGTTTCCTTGCAGGTCACTTTGGAACCTCTTGGGTGAAGCACTATTGCACGTATCAGCGGGATTCCAAGCAAATCAGCATGGTCCCATTTGACCAGAAATCAGGAGGAAAAGGGGTGAGTTCATGTTCTAATTTCATGCTTGATTTGCTTGGCTAATATGTGGGAATGTTGATTATAATACACATGTGAATTCACAACTCCAGTCTTTCACTGCATTTTTAGACAATAGCTCCAATAGGCGGTGTGCCCTGAAGAATAATCACGATAAAAAATTTTAGTTGTAAATTATGTTAGGAATTATAATTAGGAAAGATTGATGCATTCTACACAAATACAGTGTCTGGTGTGTCCAGGGTTTTCAGATGCTACCAGATCTTGGATGACCTAATTTTTGAACTAGATTCAAGTTATTCTAACTCCATATACACAGAACTGCCAGCTGATGGTTCTCTCTCTCTCTCTCTATATATATATATATATATGTTGCTTGCTCTCTATATATTGCTCTCTCTCTATATATATAATATATTTATATATAAATATCTATCTATCTATATCTATATATGGCAGAGTAGCAAAGAAGGGGGATAAACAGAGAGCAGAGAGAGATCTTAACATCTGCTGATTCACTTCCTACATAGTTGCAATGGCTGGGGTAGATGGAGCCTCAAACTCCATCTGGGTCTCCCAGGCTATCTTGCACTGCTTTCCCAGGGGCATTAGTGAGACACTGCGGTGGAAGTGGAGCTGGTGCTCACGTAGGAAGCTGGCATCGCAGGTGGCTACTGAACCTGGTGCACCACCATACCAATCCTCAGCTGACAGTTCTGATGTTCCCGGTGTCTACTACTGCAAAGCAAGTTGCTCCCACACGTAGTCATATTTAAAATCACACCAATTCGTTGTTTCTTGGAGTTTTGGTGGGTCAGGAATTCAGGGGGCATTTTTTCCAAGGATTTGCCCTTGGGGTTGCTCATGAAGTTCCATGATGACAAGAGCTGGAATGAAGAGGGTCTAAAGCAGTTCAAGGATGGCTGTTCCCCCTCTCCTGGTCAGCTTGTTGTTGGATCTCTCTACATGGCTTTGTTTGGGCTTCCTCACGGCATGGTGGCTTTGGGGTAGCTACAGACTTCAAGAGTGAATGTTTTAGCAGTTGAAGAGGATGTTGTGTTGCCTTTTAATGACCTAACCTTGGAAGCAATTAGCCTTTGTCATTAAAAAAAAAAAAAGGAGATTGTTCACCTTATTTTTGCCTTGTTGGTTGAAATGATTTCTAAAGGCCCTGACCCTCTAGTTTCTAGCTTCGAGGGAAGTTTTATTCTCCTTTTAGAGGTACTTAAATATTTAGTAAAATTTTTATCAAATACTTTTAACTCCCAGGATATCCTCTGATCTGAATCAGTGCTGTGGTTCTATGTTTAGCTTAAATGACTTTCCAGTGGTGTCTAATCTGCTGACCCAGTGTCTCTTGTAAACGAGCACTCCTACCTGTTCCTCTTTGAGGTGTATTTCAGTGCGCTGTTTGCGTGTGGGTGATGTTGTGGAAAGCTGAAGATCTCTGCTTTGGCATTGTAAATGGGGCTGTGGGGTTAGGTGTTATGCACAAATGTGCCCCTGTCGTCTTCCACGTCCAATTTTCCTTCCTGACTTTCTTGGCCTTGAGCCATAGTAGAGGAGCTTATTAGCGTCTATATTCCTTCTCTGTATCTGAGCAGTCACAAACCCTTTTTGTATTTCAGAAGCAGGGTTGACTTGCAGAGAATATTGGGAAAATATGACATTGAAAAATTAGATTCAGAAGGACTCTTAAGCTGCCTGTGTAAGCAGGGGCACCTGGCATGCAAGGTAAAAATGAAGGAGCGTAACTGTCAGTCCTGGATTAGCTTCACTGAATTAATTTTGGGCATTTTTATGTTGTGTTTTCCCCAAACCTTTAATGAAGATCTCCATTGTGTTTTCTGTGTTCCTGGATCTTCACCTTTGAAAGTGCAGGGTGGAGATAAATTATGGTGGAGCTTTGGAGCCCCAGAGCTCTCAGTGAAGTGATAGGGAGTGAATGGCCTACTGGGTTGTTCATGGGTGTACATGACTTCATGTATGTGATCTTGGGGCAGAGCCTGCTACTTACTGAGTATACTTGATACTGTCTGTGATTAGCTTTCTTGTTTTTTTTTTCCACTTGTTTTTCCTTTTTTCTTTTCAATATCCCTTATTATCTAACCTCTACTATCATGTTGGGTCCAGTCTTCCTCCATTCAGAAAGGAGAACATTGAAGTAAAGGCAGGTTAAGTTGCTACTTGCAACGCCAGCATCCCATATAGGAGTGCCATTTTGAGTCGTGGCTGCTCTGTTTATTATCCATCTTTGTATACACACCTGAAAAAGCAGTGGAAGATGGTACAGGTGAAAGACCTAGATGGAGTTCATGGCTCTGGCTTTACCTGGCCCAGACCCAGGTTTGAGGAGTGGGCCACAGATTGAAGATTTTCTCTTCTCTCTCCTCCCTCTCCATCTTGAACTCTTTCTTTCAAGTAAATAAATAAATATTTAAAAAATAAAAAGAGAAGAAATGGAGATTCTGGAAGATAAAATGATTTCTAAAGTCATACAACCAATGGCTTATAGAGCCAGGACTCAAATCCTGATCTAAAGCCATCACAGTTTCTTTGCTGCTCCTTGAGGAGTGGAAGTGTGAGGACCAGCTGCCTACTAGAGGTGATGTTTTCTCAGCTTGTCTGGGGTACACATGTGATGTGTTAGCATTCCTATATATACAAAACTGTCCCGGGTGCTGGATTTTTTCTTTTCCTAACGTGACTTTCTTCCAACCTTTTTACATCCTTATGCTCTCTTGCCTTTGGAGTGATTCCCTTTAAATCAGGGGTGGAGAACCGTTTTTCTGCCAAGAGCTGTTTGGATATTTATGACAGCATTAGCAAGCCATACAAAATCATCAGCTTAAAATTTAGCCTACTGTAGGTTTATTCAATTTCAAGTCCCACCAGCAGTTATCTTGGCAGGACCAAACCAAATGATTTTATGAACCTTTTAGCCTGTGGCCCTCTGGTTCTCCCAGCCCGGCTTTAAAGCTCCCACTCTTCTGCCAGCTTCAGGCCTGCAGTTGTGATCAGATCTACTCTATCCCCTGGGATACCTGGTCAAGTGTGATGGAGGAATTTTCTGGGACCTTACCCTTTGAAAGCCCATGGTGAATTGGGGACCTTTCCTGGCTTGCAGTCCATTGTTGCTTTTCTGCTGCCTGCTCTGGTCCCTGTCCACCAGTAAACCTCTGGTTGCGTTGCTTTCCCTTTCACTCTGGGCCACCAGTGATTCAACCTTCCCTCTGTTCCCCTAAGACTCCCTAGACCCGAGCCACAGGGCCTTTCTGCCTGCTGTTCTCCAGCCCCACTCTGTTTGCTCTTGTTTTATGTCCTGTGAATCCTTCCCATCTCAGTTCAGGAAAGCCTTTCCCAACCATGGCAGATCCTCTTACTTTAGATGTATAGCAAAACCTGCCCCTCATTCTCTTCCTTTTGCTTTTGGTAGTGTTTGTCACCGGTATAGTTTTTTGTTTATTTAAGTGATGATTATTTGTATAGATCCCTTTTTAAAACTGTCAGTAATTGAGCAGCTGAGCCATCTTTTCTTATGTGGCATGGTTATCTGTGGAACAGAAGCTGCCTCTTTGCTTAGTTGTGATGAGCCTGGTAGATCCTGATGGTTCTGCTAGCTTTCCACTGGAAGCTGCTGCACAACCATGGCATCTCCAGTTAGTTAGGAGTCACCAGGGTCACAGTCCCCTGTGCGTGGGTGTTTATCAACAGTTGAAAGGCTTCTTACTGTTTTTTTTTTTTCAATTCCAGAATTGAACAACTTTTCATTCCATAAAATAGTCTCAGGGTCCTGCTGAGCAAAGCAGAGGAGGTGTATTTTATAGGCAGAGAAAGGCTGAAGAAAGCAGCAACTGGAACAAAAAGTCATTTTAAAGCCTGTAAGGGGGTGAAGGAAGACAGTAAATAGAAGAATAACTGGTTTCCATCAGGTTTACTTCCTAATACAAGGTTTACTTTTAAAATACATTGTTTACTTTTTAGTATAAGGACTAAGGCGGAAGGAACTTCATGATTGTGCGTTACAACAGAAACTGGCACCTTTGGGAAGTTCAGTTGTTACTCCTTCTCCTGGTTTCTCAGAAGATCCAACACACAGCTTGCTTTCAGCCCAGTAGGCTGGAGCGTTGTGCTGGGTGATTCTGCTCTGATCAGCAGTCTGGTCTTTGGGGGCCCAGTGTAGGAGCCTACCCTAAACAGTGGCCCCTTGGAACTTGCTTAACACCCTCCAGTGTTACACAAACTGGGAAAGGAACAAGTCTCCATCTGAGAAATTCATCTTTGCTATTTAGTAACAGACAATAGCTGTAAGGCTTGTGAATATAAACTGTCTCTTCCTAGGCCTTCTGTGTCTTGTGTCATATTCTGATGTTAAGGGGTGGTTATATTTACCTTATGTAGTCACATTTCCTATTTTAACAAAATGAGCAAGCTTGCTAATCTCCCACTCTCCGCCTGCTTTTGAAAAAAGGATTGGTAGGGGCAAGGAGAAGCAGGAATCCTCACACATTCTGAAGTGACAGGGAAGAAACCCAGGACAGCAGCTTCTGCTTACCAGGTTTTATTTTAAAAAAAGATTTATTTACCTGAAAGGCAGAGTGACAGAGTGAGAGGGCGAGAACTTCCATCTGCTGGTTTACTACCTAAATGGCCACATCAGCCAAAAGTAGACCAGGCCAAAGCCTGGAGCCAGGAGCTTCTTCTGGGTTTCCTGCATGGGTTTAGGGAAACAAGCACTTGGACCATCTTCCACCAGCTTCCCCAGGTGTGTTAGTGTGGAGCTAGATTGTGCATGAACCAGCCAGGACATCCCATATGGGATGCTAGTGATATAGGTGGCAGCTTAACCTTTTGTGCCACAAAGCTAGACCTGAAGCAGACTCTTAATTTTGCATGACATTGCAAGGTGCTTATGCTGAGGGAAAGAAACCAGACATGCAGGGCATACTGTGTGGTTCCATTTCTAAAATGTGATGTGATATGCAGATAACAGAAAACCAGAGTCAGTGGTTTTCTGGGGCTAGACTTGGAGGAAGGATAAGTTACCATGGGGCTGGAGGGACAGGAACATGGTCAGCTTAGTTGTAGTGATGTGGTGAGGTAGTGCCTTTACTGGTTATGTACAAATGGCAGACTTTTATCAGTTGTGTACTTTGGACACCTGCAGCCTATCGTACATTATATTGCCATTAAAACTATTAAGACTTATTTATGGAGCAATGATTTTGCTCTGGGTTCCTTGGGTTTAGGAGAGACAAGTAAGAAAAACATGCAATCCATGCTTCGAGTGAACTTAGAGGAATGTCGGAGAGAGGTTATTTTGAACCATCACCTGTGTGATCAGTTTCACCTGTGGTCAGCGCAGTGCCAGAGGTGGAGGGTCACGGTGCTGCTTGAACATGTCTAGGGAGTATTGGTTCTGATCTCAGAAGGCTGTGATGCTCAGTCACCAAAGCTCATGGTCCAGAGGAGACCATTGGCTTCTGCGCATATCATTCTTGCAAGTACAGGTCTGCCAGGGCTGGGGCCGAGCCGGGGTTGGCCCAGCAGCACTGAAGAAATTTGGTTCTTAGAACAGTGAAGTCTACAGATTTGATCCACCTGAGTTCCTCATGTGAGGTCTCCTGCTGAGAACACACAGGTGTGATCTCTCCTGTTTATCTGCCACATTCATCCTGCCCAGGAGCAGAGCCCCCATTCTGGCCTTATCTTGTTGATTTGTCTGTTCCCACCAGGGAGAAGATGAGTCGGTCACACTCAAGTCCTGTACACGGCGGAAAACAGACTCGATTGAGAAGAGGTTTTGCTTTGATGTGGAAGCTGTGGACAGGTGAGTCACTGTTAAGCAATGCACATGAGTGATTTGAATTTCATGTCCTTCCTATCTTGCTCCCTTTCTCCCTCCCTTCTTGCCTCCTTACTTCCTTTTATTTCCCTTCTTTCTCTTCTTCACCATCTTGCAGTTGTATTCCATTTGGAGGAGGTCTCAAGTCATTGCTGATAGGCAATGCAAGAATCAATACCCCTGCTTGTCTTTGAGGTTTAATGCTGAATCGCTGGCTTGGTTTTTTATTTTGTGTTAATGCTCCCATGCTCAGTAATGTGAGTTATGCCTCAAGGAGATTGAGTACAAGTTTAAGGAATGGTTTAGCAGGATATTGTGTCAGCTCTTTGTGATTGTATTTTTCCTTAAAAATTAATACAGTGTTTCCAAAAGAATTGGGATGAAAGAAATTTTACTCAAAACACCATGCTGGCTTTATCTACTGTGTTTCACTTAACACTGTGTGTATGTGTGTGTATGCGTGTGCACATGCACACCCAGGAAAGACACTGATCTGCTTGCGAAATCAAACTTGGAGAGTGAGAGCTGTGTGTTGTATGTCTCAAGATGTGTGGAGCGTCTCATTAAATTGTATCATTGCATGGTGTTAAGCTAGTCTGATAACATTCCAATTCTGGAGGCGCTTCACTTGGCAACTGGCCTTCACTTGGCCTTCAATGAAACACACGTGTTAAGCTTATTGGTGCTGCCTGTGGAAGCGCAGTAGTGCTAGCACCCAGACCCTTGAATCCCAGCAGGGTACTCACATCCTGCCTTTTTAATCTCTTTTCTTTTTATTTAAAAAACCAAACAAAAAGCCAGGCCATTTTTCCAAACCAGTGCTTTGACATTTTCCGGAATGTTAACTCTGCTGCCCTTTGTCTAGTGCTCAGGCATCCTGAGGCTGCGCGTCAGCTGCTGGTGCTCCTTTCCGCAGTAGGTGTCTCTGTACTGTGGCTCCTGGATGCTAGTTGAGCTCCAGTGGAGGCAGCATGGCCTTTTACCCTCCACCAGAAGCTCGTGGAAGCAAACCCCACTTGTTAAGCAATTGAACCACCATACCTTTGGCTGTCAAGCCAGGTCACCTGCATCTGGATGTCGACTTGGCCACTTAGGCACCCTGTAACTCTGAGCAAGTGATTTCATCTTCCAGGGCCTCAGTCTCTTCCTCTGGAAGACAAAGAGGTAACAGGACCTCATTCCTAGGCTTCTTATAGGGAAAATGGATGAAGCTCAGTGGTTGGTTGTAGATACTCCATGAGAATTAGCTACTAAATTGTTATGAATTAGCTTGTCCTGTGTATCTTTTAGAGTAGATATTTCATTTCTATATGTAGATCAGCCAATGTAAGGTTTTAAAATCTTTATTACTTATTTGAGAGACAGGGACAGAGAACTTGCATTGGCTGCAGTGGCCGGCAGTGGCTCTATGCTGGGGCCAGAATAGAACCGAGAAGTTAATCCAGGCCTGCAGCATGGGTAGCCAAACCCAATGACTTATCTCATCGCCTCTGGCTCCCTGGGTTTGTATTGGCAGGAAGCTGGAGCTGGGTATCCGGCTCAGGTGCTCTGATACAGGATATGGGCATCCTGGGCATGCCAACTAGTGTCTTAACTGAGAGGCTAAATGCCCACCCTAGATTTTCAAGAAAAGAAGGAGTCCCAACCATTTACTGTGCAGGGTAAGGTGAGATGGGATGGTAAGGGATAGGCATGCTTAGGAGTGGGAGGGCTGAATTGGGGTACCAAACAGGGATTGCAGAAGCCTTCCTCAGATCAGAATTGGCCAGTTCTGCTCTTCAGCCCTATAACTGCATGCTCTACGCACGTGCCATGAAGGATGTGTGCAAGATGAGGCAGAGGCAGTTTGGGTCTGGCCCAGGGTTAGGGTTAATGTCCAGCCTTGCTGGAGTCACTGGTCTGTTCACATGGCTGGGTGCAAATGGGCATCCCTCACACCACTACTCCCAGTCATACAGAAAACCAGCCCAGAGCTGCTTCCTCAAGCTACTTTGCATTCTGCATCTTCTTCTGTAAAGGTTTCCTGAGAAGTTGTAGAGTTGATTCATGGGCCATTAGAAGTCTGCATGAAGTGGTACCATTGCCACCTAGCACTTTGCCTGCTTTGTTGTGCTCTCTGCAGACCCTGGTCAGGCTCACATACTGAGTGCACTTGGAAGCTCATTTCTCTGCCATTTCTGCCTTTGTTTCCTGGGTATGGATGGGTTCCAGTCTTGGTTCAGGACCTGGCCTCTGGAGGAGGCATTGAGCACAGAGACTTAAGTCATTGCTTGGCGTGCCTGCCTCCCATGCTGCAGTGCCTGCTTCTGCATTTCTCATCCAGCTTGCTGCCACTGTGCACCCTAGGAGGCAGCAGGTGGGTGGGTCCTGGACACTCGATTGGGAGACCTAGAAGGAGTTCTGGATTCCTGCCTTAGGCTTTGCCTGCTGCCAGCCATAGCAGACATTGAGGGCATGATCCAGGGGGTAGAGCATCTCCCCCCACCAAAGAAGGAAAAAAAGAACCAGGCCACTGAGCATCCTCTTGAGCAGGAGGAGAGTACACACTCCTGAGAAATTACTTTTTTTTTTTTCTTCCTGAGTCTCAAAGGTCAGGTTACGGCATAGCAGCTTTTTTCTTCTTTCTCCTTTTTTGACTCCATTGTCTGTCTGCATTTTCCTTACAAATCTAGGAGAGAATAGAAAAGGAACAGGTCTTCCCAGCAGCTAAGGCCTTTTCTCCTAAGGACTCCTTCACTTGCCTTGTTCCCCGATGCCCTCCAGTAGAACTATGTGGATTTCAAAAGTCTTTGGCACAAAAATAAACTTAGTTTTAATTCCATTTTTCTAAAAGCTTTTTGAAAATCCCCTGTACTTATCCAAGAGTGGGTTAGGTGGCTTAGGTCAGCAGGTTAGTATTGTGAGCTGATTACACAGTGAAAAGCGGCTGCACCAGGCATTACCTGGGCTGCTCGTAAGGACCAGAACTTTCTGATCCCTCCCTCAGAACGGCACCAGCTGACCTTCTGGGCCGGAGGCTCTGCAGTCCACATTGTTAAGCTCTTCAGTGATCCATCGTTGCTGATCTTCTTCTCTCTTTTTTAAGATTTATGTGTTTTGTTTATTTGAAAGTCAGAGTGACAAGGGGTGGAGAAGGCAGGGGAAGGACAGGGAGAGGGAAAGAGAAATAGAGAGATTGGGGAAAAAAAGAACAAGAGAGAGAAAGCTATCTTTCATCTGCTGCTTCACTCTCCAGGCACCTACAACCTCAAGCCCGGGCCAGGCTGAAGCTGGGAGCCTGGAACTCTGTCCGAAACTCCTTTGAGGGTGGGTGACAGGGGCCCAAGTACTTGGGCTTTCATGTGCTCCATTGCCAAGCACATTAGTAGGAAGATGGCTCAGAAGAAGCTGAGGAGCCAGAATTGGGAAGTGCTGTTCTCATCATCCTTGCGTGTAGTGTCATCACATAAAAGTGTAATACACTAAGGCCAAACTTGGTTCTGTCCTTCTGCCTGCAACTCTGTAAGCTTCTGAAGTCCAGGAAAGAGGTGACACCGATGGAGCATAGTGCTGCAACAACATGGACTTGGCCCATGTCCCATGAATTCCAGAATATTTATTTCTCCACCGTTCTTTTTGTTCTTTCCTTTTTTTCTTATGATATGCTTTATTTGAAAAGTAATTAGTGAGAGAAAGTGCTAGATTACAAACACACGCACACACACACAGAGTTGGGTTTGCCAACCACCAGGGAAGGAGTAACTTAGCCAGATAGATAAAAATGTTACCAGAAATGCCCAGTGGGGTCTTTCCCCAGCTTAGTATAGAAATAAAAAGCCAGGAATCTGTTGCAGATAGAAAAGTTTATTTGCGAAGGGACCAGGTGAGCAGGGAAGGGGAGAAAAGGGGAAAGCACTTGCCGGGAAGTGGGGTGCCTCTCGAAAGGGGTGGGAGAGATGCCAAAGGTTTGAGGAAGGTCTTGGGATTTTAAGCATTCCCTAACCCCTCCTTGTTGAGTGGGGAATCTGTAGGTAAGATGTTCTCCATTGGTAGTCTCTTAATCAGTTAGGAAATGGGTGGACAATGCTGGTGCCGCCCACCCGAAGGTGTGGCCAAGACCTCAGCAGGCCTGGATGGTCTCAAAGAATTTAGATGGCCTTTATTTCAGGGAACCATGGTCATGGGCTTCTCTTCCCCATGCAGCAGGAAGACAGACATGAGGGAGAAGGCTACAGAGGAAGAAGAGCTCGGAAGAGATGTGCAGGGGCCTTTTAAACTCCCCTTTTCATGGAAGCTGAAATCAGGGTCGTCTCAGCCTTTATTGGGTGCTGGTGGGGTGTGATATTGTTTTGTGCCTCTCAGTGGTGCAACTGTGGTTTCACAGCCTGAGGGGTCTGCCAGAATTCTGCTTTCTGTTCCAGGTTTGCTTGGAAGCAAGCTCTGCCCTCCTTTGGTTACTGTGGTAACCATCACATATTTTGAGAGAGAAACAGAAGAGGGTGGGGAGGTCTTCCATCCACTGGTTGACCTCCCAGATGACCACAGTAGCTAGGGCTGGACCAGATGCCAGAAGCTTCCTTAGGGTCTCCCCTGTGGGTTCAAGAGCCTAAGCACTTTGCCCATTTTCTGCTTTCTTCCTTTTCCTCTCTCCTCCTTCTTTCTTCTCTCCCAGATTCGGGGAAACTACATGAGTAGGAGAAATCTCAGTGCATTGCTGTCACTTTGTTAATCCTTAGTTCATGGTGACACTGAGTGAATTCCTGACACTAAGGTCTGCCTACAGGAAGAGCCTGTGGCTCTTTGACCTTTGAGTGAACTGAGAATCACATGCAGCATTACTTCAGGTCTTTGAGGTTTAGGTATATAGTTCTTGAATTTTATGCTTCAAAGATCCTTCTTAGTACTGAATATGACCTCAGAAATGTAGAAATGTTTGAATTTGTATTTCCACATTTCTTGCTATTTCAGAACTATACGTCTGCTCTCTTCTCTGCATCTGACCCCTG